CCAATGGTGTATGCCCCGCCGGCCACGGCGGCGATAGCGCCGAGACGACGGAGGCGAATTGAGGTGGCCATACGGTGGTGTAGGTAGAAGAACGGAAGATGGAGGTAACAAGTTTTTTTTGAAGATTGAATTGTTTTTGTTATTTTAAAAAGTTGCATTGGGAATCGAAAAATAGTATATGTACCCTCTCAAATGACTAAAATACCCTCATATGTTAAGTTATATATTTGTTAAATTTCACAATTTTTGGTAATGTTAAGATTCTTTCTATTTTAATATAAATAAAATATAAACATAGAGAAATCTTTTAAAAGATTTTTGTCAATATTAGATTAATAATCTTAGGGGTGTTCAAAATTCAACCGAACTCACTAATTTGAATCGATAAAATGTTGCTATAAATTATTAATTTTGACGGTTTGATAATTATTTCAATTTTATTTTTTATCAAGTTATCAACTTCGTAATGATTTATAATTTTTTTAATGGATTGATGGATAATAGTTGAGGAAAATCTTGTAAGTTCATTATGTTTTACTATTCAAATTGTGCAAGTAATACAAAACTGAATTGGTTCCTTTTGTATCATATGTTATGTTTTTGTAAGTGATTTTTAATAAAGAAAATTTTTCATGCATAACCATAATGACGATCAATAATCTAATCGATGTCTTAAAAATTTCTTAACGATTTAGCAAATTTATCAATCCATAACTGAATAGTTAAATCAATAATTTTTAAAATTGAATCGAATCGACCCGACTAAACTATCAAAATGTTTTTAAGGAGAAGGTACACTTTTCAACGTTCATACTACTCAATATAACAACTTTTTTTAAAAAAAAAAGTTTCCAAAAATTTGATCAAACTTACTTATTTTGAAATCCTTCCCATTCTTTTATTTTACTTACATAAATATAGTTTTATATTGTTACATATGATAATGTTAAAATAGGAAAATCAACAAATATTGTCCATGATGGACCAATTTTGTCATTACATGGTATAATATAAGGACATAAAAGTAATTTAAAAATATATTATTGGAAGAGGATAGAGCATTAGTGGGTCAACACTCTCCAAGGCTGCCGCGCAGACGAAGCATGGGCTCGTGACACGCACACCCACAACCTTTAGTAGGATGACGTTCGATATTCGATTCAGTATTTTTTTAAAAGAAATCTATTGAAAATATTTTTAAATTTGACGTAAATTATTAGTTTCGTTTTTGAAAGTCTTATAACACGCATTTACGTGACTAACTAAACTTATATATACAATCCTGATCTATCATATGACAAAATAAGTGGTCTCAAACTCCTGTACCAGTATGAAGCTATTAATCGAAAGTCGGAGGAAGTGTTGAAAATACCACTATTAGTGAGAATTTAAGAGTGTATTTCAGTCATGTTGCAAGATTGAATGTGTTTTTAAGTTCAATTAATCAAATAAATAAGTGTTTTTAAGGCTGTCAAATAATTCAGAGATGAAACTAATAATCTACATCGAATTTATAAATGTTTTCCATACTTTTCTCTTTTAAAATTTAACTTCGAATGATTTGATCTTCGAATTTAAAGATAGATAAATGATATTAAAATTTTAAATTTTGAATTGATATGATAAATTGAATTTTCATAAATATTTCGATTCTGTTCGATTTTCTATGATTTATGTCCACCTCTAATAACAAACGTCTTGCTAACTACTTCTCAAATACTTTAATACTTTTGAATTTTTCAACCTCGTAGTTTTCATTAATGCCTTTCCGCCCCCTTAACTCAAGTATCTTGTGATCCTTCTTCAATCCCTTGTTTTAATCAAATTTGTACTTCTTTCAATTTATTTATTTGGTCATAATATATGTGTTTGATTTATTTAGATCCAGTATTAAAATCATTGGGATATAATTTCAACAAAGGTGGTCTTTTACGATCACTCTATCTATTAAGTATGCTATTCATTGCTAATAATCATTACATAATCACTATTATAAGCAGTTATCACGTAATTATTATAGTATAGTCATCTTCATACTTATAACTATCATGGACAAGCATTTTGGCAGACTCTGTGACTAGTTTTGTTTTTTTGATGATTTCTCAATCTATGTTTGGTGTCTGTTTTGGAGCTATGACTAAATTCAAAATCGCACATTAACTGCTCCATTAGGAAGGGAGTGCTCTGAGCAAGATTTTCTCCATTTTCAAAACTCAAATCCGAGAGGGGGTGCTCACCAATACAACTACTATAATTAGCTTTTAGAGTGTATTTCATCCAAACAAATAAATTTTCAGCATCATATTTATTTGGATTTTCTTAATATTTTTGGATATGATATTTAATTCTTAGTATATAGAGTACTCATATAAGAAAGAGAGGGGACCAAACAATAATTTACTTGTTTGTTTCAAAATTCAAAGTCCAAATAGATGTTCAGTAGCTGGAGCTTTTGAATTTTAGGGTCCTACTCTTGTGACTATTGGATATTGATCTACTGTTACTTTCACTCCGATAAAAACAGTATTTAGCGGCAATAAATATATACAGTATTAAAAAGTGCTAAAGCCTTTGCCAGCATTAGTTAATTGTCATTAGATTCAACGTTGCTATATGCTTTAGAAAAACATTTACAAAGAGTACTAATTACCTCTAAAAATACATATTTAACAACAATTAAGTTGTTTCTATTAATTAATTATCGTTAAAGATCATTTTTGATGTAGTGTTTCTCTACCATTCATCTACTCTGGTGTACATTTACCTGTTGTTGTAAGTAATCTTAATCCGATAGTGTAGTGTGCAACTTGGTATTATTTGGTAGGGTGTATAAGAATATTAATACTAAATAGGTTGTATTAGTAATGATAGCTTAATAATACATGAATTAGTTATACTGACATTATTTCTTATCGATAACTTGGTTTAATGTATTAAAAATAGCATGCATGGCATAATTTCTAATTTTTTTAATTTATTTATAAAAACACCCTCTATATTCTTTACCTTTATACACTGTCAGAAGGAATTGCGTCTTTAATCATGCTATTACATACATTAATAACCTTGATACTGCTAATACCATAATACATCAAATAATATCAAATATAGTTTATAACTTTTACTTGCATTAGTTATATATAAGTCGAGAAAGTGTACCAAACAAGAGATTAGTAATACCAAAACTAAATACATGCATTATTTTCTCGAATACCTTTTGCCAAACAACCCCTAAGAACAACAATTTTTTTTCTTCATTTCATCATCAAAAGTGGAAGTGACATTGCTTCCATAATCAAACACTAAGATGAAAGTATAAACAACAAACATTATACAGATTACAGCTATAAACACTAATTTGAAAAACAAGCCTTTGCTCCTGGACCAAGCTGTCAAAAAGAAGTGAAAAATATACATATAGAGAAAAACATTGCTGACTTTATAAGGGATCTTTCTCCGTTCGCGTGTCAGAATCGCGGAACAGTTAAGTTACTGGATTGTCTGACCTCCATGAAGTTCTCAGGTGGAAATAATTCTTCAAGATTCATACATTCTACTTCAATATAGATGTTCCTCTTGATAGCTGCAAAAGAGAGTCTCAGCACAGATTAATCTAGTATCATGATTCAACTGGATCGACTCGTTGAAGAAGTTCCAAAACACTTCCGGCTTTTCTTTTAGCTCTATCTGTACCATTCTCCGATAGTTCCTTCAGTACCTCTTCTACTCCAAGCTCCCTAACGATCTTTAAGCTCTGTACATCACCTGTACATAGAGACCACAAAATAGCTGCAGCATTCTCTCGGTTACGAGGAGAACCTGTCCTAATTACCTCAACTAAGACGGGGAGTGGCTCAGATTGAGCAATAGCTGCCTTACCCTCCTGATGACTTGCTAGTATTGCCAATATAGCAAGTGCTTCATCCATCATTCCACCCCCGGGATCCTTGAGTAATCTCACTAGTGGTGGTACAATTCCAGCCCGTACTGCCCTCACTTTGTTTCCTTGATAGATTGAGAGGTTGAATATAGCAGTGGCAGCGTCCTTTTTTCCCCTTGGGGTTCCATGACAGAGCAAATCAATAAGCGCTGGGATAGCACCGGCTGCTCCTATTGCCACTTTGTTTTCATCAACTACTGATAAACTGAAAAGGGTAGCAGCTGCATTTTCCCTTGCTTCCATGCTTCCATTTCTTAGTACATCTACTATATCAGGTATAGCACCAGCATTTACAATAGTTCCCTTGTTACCTTCATTTATGGATAGGTTAAGAAGTGCGGTGACAGCATGCTCCTGAGTACGAGAATCTGATGATGATAGTAGTTCAACAAGTAGAGGAATTGCCCCGGCTCCAGCAATGCAGACTCTGTTATCAGCATTTCTTTTTGCTAGCAAACGGAGCTCACCAGCAGCTGCTCTTTGCTGCTCCGGATTACCATTAGCAAGTTTTTGTAATAACGCATCAATAGCAGCACGATCACAGTCCGAACCACCAGCTCCAGATCTTTTGTTCCTACAAGTTCCTTGTTTTTTAGGCAGCTCAACACCATTATTCTCACACCACAAGGCAATCAGGCTTTTCAAAACATAGTTTGGAGTCAATGCAGTATGCAACAGTGTCTGCTGAGTCTTAGGGCAGGTCTTGTGTCCTGCATCCAGCCATTTTTGGATGCACGACCTTTCATAGGTCTGCACATGAAAACAAATAGCAGACAGCAATTAATCTTAAGCCAGTAATACGAGGAGCAATTAATTTAATCCAACAAGGTAAAATGAACTATCAAGAAACCAAAGACAATTAACCTGTCCGGTAGATACAATAACAGGATCTTTCATCAACTCAAGTGATATTGGACAGCGGAAGTCATCCGGAATAACGGGAGATCTGTGCTTAATCAAACTCTTGTCACCCTCAAGGGCATCCAGTTCAGGATTCTCTGTCATCGCACAGTCCTTTAGCTTTCTTAGGAGGTATGCTATTGTTTCAAAACACTCTTCGGGATCTCCACCACTAGAAATGACCATGTCATGGATGGCAAGCGACTCCTTCTTTAGATCATTTATGGTCCTGAGATGCAGTTTCTCAGACAGCCGTTTGAAAATCATGGGGTCAGGATATTGTTCCCTTTGTGCCATAGCTAAATCCTTTTCAAGTTGCTCATCAGGTGACTCCATCTTTCCTTTGGCTCTTTTGAATTGAGCATGCACAAGTTCAATCTAGAAAAAACCAAACAATGTGAAGATTTTCAGTAAAAGAGAATGGACATCAGGTATAACCATTAAAAGGATTGCTAGATGACGTACTTGTTCTTGAACTTCCTCAGATAAATCAAGCTTATTGTAAGGAATGTCGCTTAGTGCATCTTCAATTTGCTCTGTCACATTTAGGAACCTTGATGATATGTTCTCGATCTGTAAAGCCTGCAAGACGAAAAACACAGGTGACCCTTAGAAAAGATGAAGTAAGAGACAATGTCATTCATGATGATAATTTTCAGCACAGAGGCACAACGAGCTTGATGATACCGTACAAAAGTCATCCTCCATGCAGAATGTAAAGCTAAAGCAGAGAGCAGCCACATAAGATTCATTTGACCCCTTGAGTTGCGTCTAACTCAACCTCAAAAACTAGCTCAATAGGGAAGGATTGTCTTAAGTCCAAGTAAGCCAACCACCAATCCATTCCCGCAACCAATATAGGACTCAAACCCACTCTAACAACCCCCTCCACGCCCAAGGCCAACTGGAGCTTGGATCGAGAACCCAAACAGGGTTGGACTTAGCTATAACACCATATAAAGATATGACACATGAACCTAACTTAACCCCAAAATCTAGCTCGAGAGGAGAGAACTACCCAAGTCCATATAAGCAAACCACGAGTCCATTACCCAAACCAATATGAGTCTCTAACTACAACCAAGATTGATTACTCCTAAGCAATTGGCATAAATCATTCAACAGTGACAAAAATCAAATCAAAAGCCAAAACTAGCAAAACAATACCTGAAGAATCTTACTGCCTTCATTTACAGATTTGAGAAGCTCCAAACCTGAAATAAGAGCAATTCTCAACAACTCAAGTCCATGAACAACATCATCACCAACCTCAACACCATCACTATCTTTCAAATCCTCAACTAAAGGGCTCAAAAGCTTCACCCTTCTCACCAAATTACTGTACATCCTCTTAGACACCGACCGGCACTCCGGCAAACCAGAAACCCCATCGATCAACTCCGTCAGCTCATTGATTAAATCCTCTTTCTGATGACCCATATGCACAAAAATCGATTCTTTAACCAAATTGAGCAAAACCCAGTTGGAAAAATCGATTCTTTAACCAAATTGAGCAAAACCCAGTTGGAAAAATCGATTCTTTAACCAAATTGAGCAAAACCCAGTTGGAAAAATCGATTCTTTAACCAAATTGAGCAAAACCCAGTTGGAAAAATCGATTCTTTAACCAAATTGAGCAAAACCCAGTTGGAAAAATCGATTCTTTAACCAAATTGAGCAAAACCCAGTTGGAAAAATCGATTCTTTAACCAAATTGAGCAAAACCCAGTTGGAAAAATCGATTCTTTAACCAAATTGAGCAAAACCCAGTTGGAAAAATCGATTCTTTAACCAAATTGAGCAAAACCCAGTTGGAAAAATCGATTCTTTAACCAAATTGAGCAAAACCCAGTTGGAAAAATCGATTCTTTAACCAAATTGAGCAAAACCCAGTTGGAAAAATCGATTCTTTAACCAAATTGAGCAAAACCCAGTTGGAAAAATCGATTCTTTAACCAAATTGAGCAAAACCCAGTTGGAAAAATCGATTCTTTAACCAAATTGAGCAAAACCCAGTTGGGAAAATGGAATTTTTTATCAAATTGAGAGACACCCAGATGAAAAAATGGAATCTTTAATCAAATTCGGAGAGACCCTGATGGAAAAACAGCAATGATTAGGCAAATCCTTGCTGGGTTGGCAGTTGGTTGATGAGTTGACTGAGAAAAAACATGAGTTTTTTGGGTTCTTGAGGTGATTTCAAGCTCAAAGAATTGATGAATTTTGAGAATCAAAAGAGAGAAAATTCAAAGCTCTCTTGTATGTTCACACAAGGAAACTAAGCAGGTGAAGCAAAGATGAAATGGAAAAAATTGATTTGTTGAGCTTCTATTAGTCAATTGTAATAAGAGCTTGTCTTAATTTATTTATTTATTTGGTAGATTTGACAGATTAATGATGATTAATAATGACAATAATACAATAATAAGAACCTACTTTCACACCATATTTTGTGTTTCGATTATTTCATTACTACTTTTTTGCTCTTCGTCCTTTCTGGTACGGCCCTTTGTTTAGTTGCTATGTTTTTTTTATGATTTTTTTTATACTTAAATTTGCTGCTCCTGAGTTGATGTCTTTCGAAAATAACTTTTCTACTTTCACGAGGTAGTAATAAGGTCTACGTACACTGTACCCTCCCTGAAAGCACTGAATTTGTTGCACTTGAGCAGTTTCTTTTGAAAACAACTTGTGAAATTTCACTTTGTTATTATCTACTAGTATTACTTATAGTATAGAAATAAATAATTGGTGTTGGTAAATATATTTATTGAATAATTAATAATGTATTTTTAGTGAACATTTATAAAATATAGTGGATTTTACTGTTATGTGTGAACTTGTAATTCAAGAAGTGGGGGTAGAAATTAGAGGGAAAATACTTGCATATTTGTATGGGTCAATTTCAACATGAAATAAATTTCTAGCTGCCTTTTTTGGAAAATAATGTCCTTCTAATTTAGATTATATATATAGTCTTTTTTCATACTATATTTTTTTGGGTTATAAGAAGTTGAAGTTGCATTAGGAATATGTTAGAATAGGTCCACATCAAACTATATCAAAATAAAAAAAATTAGTAAGTATATATTATGTTACTAATATATATTGTAACATACTATGGTTTTTAAAAATTAATAAGTCCTAACTTTGTTACTTTTTATGTAATGTTCATGAATATTCTTTGATCTGTTTTTTTGTCCCAAAACTTAGAAAAGTTGATTTGATCATATAGGTAGACAATTTACTATAGGAATAGAGGATTCGTTAGTAAATACAATGTGTTATCTGATATAAATAAGAAATGAAATTTAAATTTTATTTATATAAATTAATATTTTATTTTCTAACAAACGAACTATTAAAATTGATTGACTTGATTTTTATGTAACCTTAGAGTCAGTAGTTCAAACGCATGATTTAATCTAGACTACTATTGACATTTTCTTCTTCAATGTTTCATAAATTATTTGACCAGTAAGGATTTTAATAGGAGGGATTGATTTAGAGGCAAGAATAATTAAGGGACTAACTATTGTGTTTTAGTAGAATAGGACTTTTTTTATGTTATTTTTGTTTTTGTCAAAAAAAATGTTTATCCTTTTATGGTGATTCCAAATAAATTATGAGACAAGCAAACAACAAAAAAGCATTTTAGTCAATTTTTATAATTATCAAAATAGACCATGAATTTTTTAAAAATAAAACAATATTATGTACTATATTTGTTTGTAAGGAAAATATTGTACATAAATTTGATAACGATTGTGATGCAATTAAGTATCAAAACATTAATTTCACTGGATTATGCTTAAAATTAAGAAAAACCTTACACATTAATAACACTATATATGCATCATTTGTTGACTCTCTCAAAAAGATTATAATAAAAAAAATCAAATAATTATTAGAGCATAGAAGAAGTCTAATATAGTTACTCTCTAACTCACCATAAATTGGTAATCTATCTAAATGTTGACGTATACAAAAGAATTTAATAAGTCATATATATTAATTTTTTCTATCCCGAATCAATATTTATATTATGATCTCGACTATAATTTGATTGTGTCACATAAGACACATTAAAGGGGAAGTCAAAAAGTGTGTACCATAATTTTTTTTCATCCTCAAACATAAGTGATTGAAATCTTTGATTAAAGATAGATGTTAAAAATAAATATTGGATCGGATCCATCCATAAAAGGTGCTAATTAGCTTGTTAGTTTGTCCTTCTTTTTAAGCCTAAACTCTTGATGTATAAATGCACCATTAAGACTGTAGAAAAAGTGTTTTTTGTCCACTATAATAGATTGCTAGGGTTAACTATCGAATAGAGAGAAAAATGCTTTGAATCTTATGAGGATATTTAGGTTGTAACGGAAATTTATCGATCCATTTTGTGAGAATCATCGATGACACAAGTTGTGCTAACTGCAAATCTGTTTTCACTGCAGAGAAACTCTCAAGTGTCCTAACAAGTATATTACTATTATATTAGAAAAATCTTAGTCATCCACGTCAACCCTCAATAATAGGGAGGAGCTAGAACCTCAAATATGAATTCGATCGAATCTAGTAATTATTGCTTAGATAATATAATTGTGTTAAAAAATATATTATAAAATATGCTCTTTGATTGAGTTTTGATATATAATTTTTTTGGTTAAGAAAATTCAAAAAAATGCTCAATCTTCAATATGTTAACAGTAATCTTTTGTAACCTACAACACCAATAATAGCATACATATTCATAAGGTGAAGTCTGAAGAATTGGATCTTGTGTGTATACAGTTTTATTTCCATATTTGAGAAAGTCAAGTTCATCTAATTTGATTGAAAAGTTGGTCAATATTGTTAGAGATTCATCAAATTTGATTGAAAAGTTAGTCAATATGTTAGTTGAGTACCAAATTTAACATATTAATTATGTTACTTAGTCAAATTTATTACAGTAATATTTGTACATAATATCTTCTCATAATTAGTATACATGGAAAGCAATTACCAACATCTAATTAACTTAGCAAAAGGTAAAATAATACAAATATTTCATGATTTATACATACATGAAATGTATCATATGTATATTTTTATTCCTTGGTCGTACCTTTTTTCATACTCCGTGTGACATCGCCAGTACCACAAAACAAAAAAACTAGTAATGTTCGTCAACTAAGTTTGTTCAATAGTCATATGCTTGATAATTTGATTGAAATGTTCAATATTGGTGCACACTAAAATTAACTATGTACATAAACAAATTAATTAATTTACTATAATTACCTAATTCAGTAAAACAATTATATATAATTAAGTGATAGAAGCTACGTGCAAATGTTTGTCATACATCAACTTGCTTTGTGTAACCAAGTAAAAGTGATTTATATCACAAAACTATGATGTTTTTCTTTAAGATAATGAGATAATGTTATCTCTTTTGGTCATTAATCTTATTTTAAGATTAAAAAAAAACTATTTTTACCTTAATTCTCAATATATTTCTACTAAATAATATAAATATGAAATGTAATAAAAGTTCATGACTCAAACACACATGTCTCCTTAGAAATGAAGCCAACTTAATGATAACAGCGGAATCAGAAATTTCATCAAGAAGTCGAGAAGATTCAACTTCTATTATATGTACATAAAAAGATACGAATTGTTATTTTAGATATACAATATAATTTTTCATCAAAAAAATTTCGGATGAACTCGTTACACCCACGTGTCTCCGCCCCGTCTTATTGGATGACACAAGCTAGGAAAAGGCTGACTTGGCATAGGAGAATTGGTCCAAAATGGGAGCATGAAAAATGATGTGTTTATTAAGACAGTTGGCATATTTATATTGACACGTCTGCCGGCATGCATATTGCCTTTAATTACTCCTATTATTATATTGTTGTTATGTTATTGTCATTAATATTTATTATAATCTTTTTAAAAAGATGTGGATTAGAGGAAATAATCTCTACCAACTATACTTTGAATAGGGACATTACAAAGATTGTGTTAATTTGGAGATGGACCTTTGAATCTAAAAGTTTCAAAGTTAAAAATAAGGTTGGAATAGATTTAGTAGCTGAAGTGTAAGTGTAGTGACAACGCAACATATAAAGTGGAGATGGAAGTGAAGATCAATGCATGAGTCTTAGTTAAGAGAGGAAGTTACAAATAGGCACGTTGAACATATTATAATTTTATCGACTAATTTTGACATTTCTAATTTTAAGTACCTTAATTAGCTTGTGTCAATAATCCAAGGAAATTATGAGGAAACTGAAGATGACATTGCACATCGTATTGAAGTGGAATCGGTGAAATGGATGCTGGCCTCTGAGGTATTGTGCAATAAGAACGTGTTACTAGGGGTGTACAAAACCGAATCGAGAACCGAACCAAACCATAAACCGAGTCAACCCGGAAAAAAAACCCGACTAGTGGTTTGGTTTGACTTGGTTTGGATTTGGAAAAAAAACCCGACTATATTTGGGTTGGTTTGGTTTTAACTAAAAAAAACCAACCCGAGACCAAACCAACCCGAATTTATATATATAATTTTAAAATTTTATTTTATACATAAAAATATTTACTTTGATATAATTTTTAAATATTTCTCATACTTTTTCATAGTTTTTATCTTTTAATATATTATTTCAAGTTTAAAACTTAGAATTAATACTAATGCAAAAAGAAAATCAATTCAACACTAAGAATGACAATAATATTGAATATTTGTTCTTTAGTTTTACATTGGTTTAGACAATTAAAATACATAATCTAATTTTAATTTTCTTTAATATTTAGTCATGTAACTAATACTTATTAAACTTAATTTTAGCATGATTTAGTACTTTTAAATTATGATCATTTTCATTCTGACTTGTTAATTTGCAATATTTGTTTTACGCGATTTCATTATTATTATTTTTGTTGGATATTTTAGTGTCATTAATCATATCATATTGTGTTATATTTTTAAGAAACATCTTAGATAGTTGTATTTTGGTAGGACTAAAAAAATATTTGAAGTAAAAGTAAATTATATATTGTGTATGAATACTTTACCGGAAAAACCCGAAACAACCCGAAAAACCGAAAAACCCGAAAAAACCCAAGGTTGAAAAACCCGAGTTTTATTGGTTTGGTTTGGTTCATAAATTTAAAAATCCGACACAAATGGTTTGGTTTGATGTTTGAAAAACTCGAACCAACCCGGTCATGTACACCCCTACGTGTTACCAAGGCTTAAAGGTAAGAACTAGAGAATAGTGGTTAGACCAACATTGTTGTATACGGTAGATTGTTGAACATTCACAAACGCCCATGTTCAGTAGATTAAA